AACGTGCAAAGATAAATCCCATCTTCTTTCCCTTTTCCTAATTCGCACACGGTCTTTATGCTCTTAATGGAAAATCTCACGACGATAATTGTAGCTTGAATGCAGGCCAATTAATTTTTCATTCTGTCTTCTAACATTCTGGAATTTCTTCCGTATTTTTCTCCGACTTTATTTGGTTAAAAGTTTTTTCCATAGCTTAAATTAAATTAGGTAAAAGAAGTAAATAATTTATGTCCTTTTTCGGTTTATCTTTCATCCTTGTTATTTTATAGAATTGTTTCTTATTTAATTTTATATTCTGTAAAAGCCTGTGTTATACTTTCAATCAAACTAGGTAAATGAGGTAAATAATTTTTGTATTTGAGAATTAATTTTTTTTATGCCATTTTGTAATTTTGTAAAACTTCATTTTACTTTGCAATTTTATAGTATTCTAATTTTGTTTTTTATTATTATGTTTCATACAAATTTGAGCTATACCTTGAATTAAAGTGGTTGAGTGAGATAAATAATTTGTTTCTGAGAATTCGTTTTTCATTTTACTTTGTAATATATTAATATTTTATTTTTTTTTTTAAATTTTATACTCTGCAGAAAAATATGTTATAGTTTGAAGCAAACAAGGCAAATGAGATAAATGATTTTAATTTTGTATTTGGCAAAGATTTATGTTATAGTTTCAACTATATCGTGCAAATGAGATGAATAATTTGTATTTTTTTAAGTTGTTTATAATATGTTGTCAATATGTTATTTTATAGAATTTTATTTTTTTCTATTTTAATTTTACATTTTGCAAAAGTTTATGCTACAATTTGAAATTTTAGGAAATATATTAAGGAAATAATATATATTTTTAAGGAAATAATGTGGATTGTTTTTAGCACCGTTTTTCGAATCTATGAAATATTTTGTTGGAGATGAACCTGTGTGCAATCTAGGACTATCATAGAAATTTACGTCACATCATAAGTTTGTTTTAACTTAATACGCAGTTTAGAAATAGTTGATTTCTCATGTATCATAAATTGTCATCACTCTAAAAAATTTACCGTAATTGTCACGATATCTGTTATCATGAAATAGTTTAGCTGGCTTTATCGTTTTACGTGATACTATAGAATTAAAATTTAAAAATTGATCGATTATCAATTATTATTTTATTTATTGAACGATATTTTTTTTGTAACACGTATAACATTTATATTAAATTTTGATTTTTGGTTATTGTTATTTATGTCAACATTGTGTTAAACAAAAATATTTTATAGTTTATCTTGTCTTAATTCAAGATTAATATTTCTGTTAAGTAGTGATATTAATATTATATTTTATTATTATATTATGTGTTATATAGAAAATAAATATTAATATTACATATAAAATTCAATATTATATAAATGAAATGTTATTATATATAAAATTCTAATATTCCTTATGAATTATATTTAAATTAGAGATCCATGCACAGCAATTCTTTTAAGGAATTTCTATTCATTGACTTATTCAATGTACTTACAAATTTTAGCCAAAGAAATCTTTCTGAAAGGACACTTCTAGTATATCTGCATACCTTTGTGTTTCATAAGAAACAATTATTTAATCACAAAAGATTGAATGAAAATATATCTTATTTTGTAACTTCTTTTTGAAAACATGAAGTTAATGAGACCATAAAAAATCTAGGATGTAAACTGTCACTGCAGATCTCATGTGGAATGTCCTTGATAAATAAATAGCGGTTGTTCAAGAAATCTACGATTCATAAAAAATAAATCATCCATCCACATCCGGTACCGGAAATTTTTCAAAAGAATTTTTGAAAAGAACAAGCTATCCGTTAATTCCACATTTCCAAACGCACAAACACCATTACAAAAGGTTTCGACACCGTGAACGAACGACGATTTCCCATTTTGATATACCTTCCGGAGCTTGAAGACAAGAAAGCTCGATGGAGTAATCCCAACAATCCAAGGAATTCATCTGCGTCTGTGGATCCCAGACGACGTCTACGCTAGGTCCGCTCATCCTTCTAGATCCAGAATCCCGGCGGTCAGCTTCGACTTGCACTTTTTCTTCGTTCCACCTGCGAACCGACTCCACTGGTAAACTTCCGATCGTACGTCACTTTCAACCTCGAATTGTTTTCTCCACCGGTCAACAACTCTCAATGAGCAGGATTTTCGGGTTCGTCCATCCAGACGATACGATTCGCGTACGAGTGTTACACGCGGAGAAGTCGGGTTATCGACCACAACCGGTTCCAACGAAGGTAGCCGGTCTTCTGTGAATCGCTAGGTAGCCGTGGAACGTGTGCAGCCCAAACGTCGAATGCCCATCCACTGCTAACCTGATCCCCTCTCCTCGCCTTTCTTCCCCCATCCCCACCACCGATCTTCGCGCTCTTTCTTTCCTTTTCCCCCTCTCTCTCGGTCGGAACGTACCTCTTTTTTTCACCTGGTGTAATTCCCTTCTGACGACGGTGAGCATCTTTCCTCGAGTTCTGCCTCCCTCGGGTACTCTCACTCCGCGTGGCCACCTCTTTTTCCTTTCCCTTCTTCCCATTCCGTAAACGCGTATCTGTTTCTCTGCCGGGTATATATGCCTCGATACACGTGCAAAAGCTGTCCCACTTCTGCTACTTTTATTTTAAACGACCGTCTCCGAGCATGGGATCGTTATTTCGACACGTCGATATTCATTTGCGGCGTCGTGTTTACACAGGGTTTTCAGTTTAACGTTAATCACCGCGATAAGACAAAACA